AATTGGATTTTCTTATTAATTATAATTGATGTTCCTCTTGTTTTACTGTTAAAAAAACTGCACGACTTTTGTACAGATATTTAAAATCTGCTCTTATTTTAAAAGCTTTGTCATGTTAGGTGAGCAAGCTGTGATTTTATTCGTAGCCAACCTGAAATCCTCTCTGCCTGTGAACCATGTTGCAGGTTTGCAGAGAGGCCACATGGCTGAAACTACGGGCAGCGAATATATTCAGTGTTGGAAGTGAGCAAAATGTGTGAAATCGTTCACAGCACCTTTAAGTATTGTCCAGATGAGTCAAAACGGTGCCACACTTGCCCATTTGCACACACACAAAACTAGCTAATGCATTCACCTCTTCCTAGTGTTGCCCTGATGCACCTGAAGTCTAACGGGATCTTTTAGAGCCCGACCACCTACTGTGTTTTCCGTGCGGATAATGACATGAGCAGCAAGGGGCCGAGATAGCTGAGTCAAGAGTCCCGCTGTTCGCGGCCGTGTGTGTGCGTCTTTACTCTCGTTTGTCGTCGGTTCATGCAGCTGTGTGTGTGATACGAGGGGCGAACTGAAGTGCCCTCATCATATCTCAAAGTGATTAATTCTTCTTTCTTATCTTCTGATGAACACCCTGCTCCCTGTGAGTGTGCAGTGGGTGCGAACGTAAGGAACGAAGAGCACAAAGAAACGCACGGCAGACAATAGATCACATGCCCCACCTCCTTCAGAATTCCAAATCACAGTCTTCTATTATAGCAGCGTCTACGGGCCCCTCCCGGACTTACACGTACGGGTGTCTGTCGCTCCTCACCTCCAGCCAGTCTCTGATGTCTTGGAGATTGAAGTGTTTCCTTTAAGACCCTAAATCTCCTCCCTCCCTCCCGCATGTGCAGGCTGGCCGTGGATGGGACTCTCAGCGGTGTGGGGACGTGGCGAGGGGGCTGTGTGTTATCCTCTTATCCCCACTGTTCTGGAATAGAGCACCAGCAGCTGGAGGACTGCAAGCCGCCTGATAATGCAGCTATTTTCTACTCGGCCATCTTAATCTTGTTACTCAAATGGTTGTGAAGAGAGTCATGAATTTTAATTCAGACATCCCTCGTTCACACCCACACATATACATACACATATTAACTTAATCTCTCTACATCCTCCCAACTTCCAGCTGTCTGTCTGGCCGTATCTGCTCTCGGTGCGTTTAACACCCGAATCTATCAATTTCTGGGGCCTGTAGCGCGAGCATCCGGTTGTCCGTTTCATCCCCTGCTTTCTAAAGAATGCCTCTCGCTCTCCTCGTCGCAGAATGCAGGCTGAGGGGGAACGAGGAGAGGGAGGGAAAGGCAGCAATAAAATAAATGACTTGCATCTTGGCAGCCGTGCGATTAAAAAGTAGGAGCCGATTTATCCAGCCACCCATGAAGCTGATTAGCAGGCTGTGATCAGGAGGAACAGCTTTGCTTGTTAAACTTTTCACCTTTGTAAGCTCGCTGCCTTTTTCCCCTTCCTCTCTCTCTTTCTAAGCTTCTTTGCTATATTATTCGCTAACACTTTTATTGCGCTCCCTCTCGTACTCTCTCTTTCCTACTGGCCTCTCTCAATCACTCATTCCCACTGTTCCTCAAACTTAACTTCCATGTGCACACTCTCTAGCTGTGTTCCAATTAACAAGCTCCCTACACAGTGTTCACGTGACGCACAACATGTCATCTAACTTGACAAAATCCGTTCATTGGGAGTCGGCCATAAACCATAAAAACAAACCTGTGTGTGTGTGTGTGTGTGTATATACATGTATGTGTGTGTGTGTGTGAATCAAAAACGATATAGTTGATCAGACCTGAAATCCCCAAAATGAGAATAAATCACTGTTTAATATTTAAATATAGATAAAAGTAAAATTATTGTTATTGTAGTTCATCATTACTAAAGGTAATAATAAATAAGGAAATAAATGTGATTTGGTAATTTTACAGTATTTATCTTTTATAAACTATTTTGTGATATTTGATCATAATAATGCCTTTTTTTTTTTTACACCTGCAAACAATTGTGTAGAAACCTGAGGTGAATTAAGCTCAATATAACTCCTTTTCACACTTAATGTAGTACTAAAATGACGTGCAATGTCTGGTAAATTGTAAATTTCTCTTAATGACAGGTAAATTTTTATATTGTTGTGTATATATCAGTGTGCCCTTGTTTCTTGCGCTTAAGTAATATATCAGTGTGCACTTGTTCCTTGTGCTGTGCCTATATAACTCCTTTTCACACTTAATGTAGTACTAAAATGACGTGCAATGTCTGGTAAATTGTAAATTTCTCTTAATGACAGGTAAATTTTTATATTGTTGTGTATATATAAGTAATATATCAGTGTGCCCTTGTTTCTTGTGCTTAAGTAATATATCAGTGTGCACTTGTTCCTTGTGCTGTGCCTTGTGCTTGTGTTCTTCAGACTGAACACACATGCTTCCTGCGGTTTAATGTGTACATTGCAGGGTACAGGCACTACAGTCTCACTTGTCTGGGTTGGTGTGAATGTTGGTGTGAACGGCTGGCTGCCCCGATTACAGAGAGGTCACAGGTTCAAACATTGGCTGCTGTCGAGGGGTGGAGAGAGAGATAACACACATCAAGGGCAAAAGAGCGTCCTTTTATCTGTTTTTATTTTATCTCAGGCCACAAAGATGATGAGGTGAATGTTAGAGTAAGACAGAATGAGCATGTGTATCCATTTGGGAATCACTTAATGGTGTTCATACAGATTTAATGTTTGTTGGTAATGGTTTATTCTCTCTGTTTGTAGCCAATGGAGGATGCTTAGATACATCAGTGATACTGTTCAAAACTTTCCCTTCAAAGTTCTGCCTGGAAAGGCCTTTCAGGTTCACATGTCAATGATATAACTTTAGCATGATGGGTGAGTTGCTGTGTTCTGTATGTGATGGTCCTGTTGGAATGGTGTTTGCATAAAATATCCCACAATTAAAATCCAGTAAGAAAGTGTGTGTGTGTGTGTGTCCAGTACATTTTAGTCACTCTGAAAGTCTACACGCACGTCAGCTGTGTTTCCTTTTTGGAGGGGTCTTATTTTTTATAAATGAACTGCATGTTTCTCTTTCTAAGTGCTGGCGGAGTGTGTGGGATATTGGAGGATCTGATTGGTTGGGACAGGGCTGAGCTCCAGGGCAGAAGAGACTGGCAGTGTACTGCCACAACTCTAGAGCTCAGACGGTGGCAGAAAAGCAGACCCATAGGGCATATTGTACCACAAGGCTGCTTGACATTCCCTCTGCAGACACCTCTACTCTAAGCGGGCCATTATTAAGCAGTTAGTGGGATTCTTGCCACTTGTCCTTGTTTGTTAGAGGGAGTTCTTGCACTGCACATCCAAATAGTGAAGGGCATATCACAGGAACTTTTTTTTTTTTTTTTTTTTTTTTTTTAAGTAAAATGCAGCAGAAATAGAATGTTCTTGCTCTAATTTGTCAGAACAGTTATGAAAGCAGTAGAGTAAGTGTCATTTGAACATTGGGGCTGATGCGTCAAACCCTATCAACCCAAATCTTAATCATTATTTTCAAAAAAGTATTTAAATATATTTCTCAAGATAGAAGCATATTTTTAAATACCTTTTTTAATTCTTCAAATTATGTTTACAGGTTTTGGATAATGAATTTATCATATATTATTAATTCATAAATATCAAGTTTTTGGGTAGTAGTGTTGTTATTGTAACTAAAACTAAAATGAATAAAAATTGTTTTTGGTAATTGAAATAAAGCTGAAATAAAATAAATATAAATATTACATGAAAACAATTCATTTCAACTCATTTCGAATGTGTAACTTATTTCAGTTAGTAAGGTGACATTTTAATATTTTAAGTAAAAAAAGCTGAAAATAAAAGTAAACTAAAATAAAAGTAAACTAAGGCTAAATAGAAATTAAAAAAATCATAAAATTGACAAAACATAAAAATTACTAAAACTTGAAATGAAAACTGGAAATGGAAAAATATAATTCTAAACATTAATAAATACTGTAATAGTATATAAATAATGCTAAAATAGAACTATTATGTAGTCACACCACATGCCATTTACTTGAACTAATCTTGCTGTGTCATAAAAAAGTCAAATTATCTGATTATTTGTAGAGACTTGTTGACTTATTGTCATTATGGTCTCCTCGTTATGATATCACTTCCTATTTTTTCTGCATGTTGGTCACACCACATGACTTTGATTTAGAACAATATTAGAAAAGCAGTGCAATTTTGTTCAAATATTTTTATTTCTAATAAATAATAATAAAATATGCCAAACTACTTAATAAGGTTTTCTATTCATAAATGTAATTCTTTTAATGAGGAATTTTTTAATTATGTTATCAGAGCTGTCCTGATATCATATTATAAAAAATGCCTCTATAATAACTCTGACATACCTCATAAAATATTGAAATAATAAATTAAAAACATGTTTGTCATAGAAGAGTCATTATATGTTTGAATTGCTTTTTTAATGTTTTTTAAATTAATTTATAAATTAGTGTCATTGCGTTGGCCTGGCTATTTATATAGTACTATTAAGTCAGATGTGTACATACTCTGAAACAATGCATATATGTATGTATGTATGCATATATATATGTGTGACTCAGTTATTGATTCGGTAGTCTTTTTTTATAAAAAATGCCTCTATAATAACTCTGACATACCTCATAAAATATTGAAATAATAAATTAAAAACATGTTTGTCATAGAAGAGTCATTATATGTTTGAATTGCTTTTTTAATGTTTTTTAAATTAATTTATAAATTAGTGTCATTGCGTTGGCCTGGCTATTTATATAGTACTATTAAGTCAGATGTGTACATACTCTGAAACAATGCATATATGTATGTATGTATGTATGTATGCATATATATATGTGTGACTCAGTTATTGATTTGGTAGTCTTTTTTTCCTACTTCTGAACAACTGAATCTTGTTTTTCAGATGCAGAGAGAGGGAAAGGAGGTGTACGATGAGAACATCCACTATCCTCTTCTCCTCACTCTAACTCACGGATCCAGTCCAGCCCTGATCTGAGCTGGGCAAAGCCATCTCATGCCAGGCTGCCTTTCTGTACCGCCCACCCCGGCTTTGCCACTGTGTCCTCACCTGCTGTGTGTGTGTGTGTGTGTGTGTGTGTGTGTGTGTGTGTGTGTGTGTGTGTGTCAGGCCTAAGCAGCCTCTCACCACACTCCTCAACTTGGATAACTTTTTTAACTACCGTGTGTGTGTGTGTGCAGTGAAACAGACTATGTAGGTGAGTTGCCATGTGTGCGTGTACTTGACCTGTTTACTGTGCAACAACAGTGTGAAATGCATTAAATGGGAATGGAGAACACATCCCTCCCTCTCATCCTACAAACACTGCGGATGTGATGCTCAGATATGAACTTATTCAATGCCTGTGAGTATACTGTACGTGATATCAGAGATGATGATTCAGGGCAGAACGTTACAAATTTATGAATTCAACTCTGGAGGCTTATACAGCTAATCAGGTTCACAGGACTATCTTCGCCTCTTTACAAAGACGTAAATGAGGCCGTAGGGTCGTCTTGATCATGAGATCTTGTTATCATAATGACACCAGCTCTCAGTTAGCTACTGATTCTGTATCTACATTCAAAGGCTCATTCTGACACCAAAGGTTATGAGGGGATGGATGCTGCTGCGCTGAATGTTATTTGCTTCACTGTGAAATGCTCTCATCTGGCATTTTTTATCGAAGAACTGACAAGATATGACAGATTAGGCCAGACTAAGACTGAACTGATATCTTGACAGCGTCACACTACCACTGGTAAGAACTGCAGCACTGTTCTCCACTGAGTCCTGTATGTTTAGAGTGCACTCACTATGCATGCTGGACCAATGGCCTCATAAAGAGATGAAAATGGTGTCATAATTTATCATGTCTTTTGAAACCCATTTGATTTTCTTTTAACCTTAGAATGTAAAAAGGGTTATTTGTAGCAGAATGTCCAAATTGTTTTTTCTATACAATAAATGTGAATGGTGATCATAACTACCAAGCAACATTTTCAGAGTATAACAACTTAAGTTTCATTCTTTTTTTGCACACAAAGGCTTCAGAGGACAGAGGAAAGCTGGGTGGACAGGGTGCTTTTTTTGCCCTTTTTTTGAACGGACAGCCTCTGGTCATCATCCACTTTCATTGAATGGAAAAGGGCAGCATTGACACTCTGCTAAACTTCTCTTTTTAGATTCCATGGAAGAAAGAAAATACTATGTGTTTGGAAACGACATGAGGGTGAGTAAATGATGACGATTTTGACATTTAAATTTAATTAATGGATACAATTCATATGAGTTCTGTATACAGACCCCTTTCCGCCATGAAAACAAAATACAAAACGCAACTTAACGACATGAGGGTGAGTAAATGATGACGATTTTGACATTTAAATGTAATTAATGGATACAATTCATATGAGTTCTGTATACAGACCCCTTTCCGCCATGAAAACAAAATACAAAACGCAACATCTCGCAATTCAGACTTTTTTTTACATCTTGCAATTATGAGTTTTCATCTCGCAATTCTGACTTTTTTCCTCTGAACACTGAATTTACATCCTGCAGTTGTCTGTTTTTTTCCACTGCAGAATAAAAAATAAAAAAGGTAACTATGACTTATCATCTCATAATTCTGACTCAATTCTGACAGGTTTATATCTCACAATTCAGACTTTTCTTCTCAGAATTGCGAGATACAAACTTAGAATTACAAGATATAAACTTTAACTCTATATAAAGTCTGGATTATATTAAAATAATGTCACAATTATCTTTTTTTTATTTTTATCTTTTTATCCCATGGCGGAAACAAGCTTCAATATTTCTGTTTTTGTAAATCAAGGGCTATACAGTTGTTTTTTGGTTTACATTCAGAAGAATATTATGTTATGCCCAAATATTAAATATTAAACCCTCAAGCTTTTTTATGCATTTTAACAAATAAATCTTAGTTTTTTGTTTTGTTTTTTTGAAACACGGCTTTTCTAAACTATAGCCCTTTTTCCCCACACTGTTGTTTTCTCCTTGTGTTGAGCTGCTGACACCTCATTCAGAGCTCTTTGGTTTGTTGTGAATTGTTCAGGGCTGTGTGCTTCTGCACTGTGATTACATTTGTACAAAACACAGATGAGTCCAAAGTGATTGTTTCTCACTGACACTGCAGGTGCTTGTAACGACTGTGATTAAATCATTGTTTTGAATACTTCTGTGTCCTGCAAATTTTTTGTGTCACATAATGTGTAATTGATTTGTGGTGTGATGGCTCATTGTTATAATGATTAATGTCAAAATTGTTTCGTTTATTTAATGCATCAATTGTAGAAATTAATCTCCCCAAATGTTGGGACTAAAAATCTGATTTTATTTTTTCCATTTAAACCTGGAAATAAAGTTTTTCAGGCATTTTTAACCAACATATTTAAGTTATGAAGTAAAATCAAACAGAAATATTTAAGATTCTGCTCTAATATCAGCAATTAAATAAGCAGAACAATGCTATTTATATGTTTGTTTGTTTTTTTGTTAGAACCAAATACTGAGATATTATCAAGTTAATTTTTCAATTCACTTTTCACTCAAATTGTTATGCTTAATATATTTATGAAAACATTTGTATTAAATCAGAAAAAATAAAAAAAAATGTTCTAGTGTTCTCACTTCTGGACCTGACTATATGTCCTACAATGTCACTTGACTAGTGGATGGCATGTGCCTCAATTCACTGTCACTCTAGGCCTCTTCATTTCCCGTGCTCTGATAGCCAACTTGAAGCTCAGCTGTAGAGTCGCTATGCAGATAATCCTGTCAGTCAGTCTATGGAAATGAGAGAGAGAGAGAGGAGAAGGAGGGGTAAAAAGGAACCCAACTCTGTCTTTTGAGATTTGAAAACGGTCCGGTTGTCTCCTCCCTCTGTCCCAGTAGAGGGAGAGAGCTCCCTGTTCACTACAAGGGCTCCATTAACTTGACCACTTGCCCTTTGCACACAAAGCCTGGGCCGGCCCACTGTCCCACCCACCCAATTATGTGCGATTAAGCTCAGTGTGCTGTGTCAAGATGCAGAGGGACAGAGAGAGAGAGTCGAGATACTCTGTAAACGGAGGGAGAGAGTGGAAAAGAAGGACGAGGGTAGTGATTAAAAGGCACTGCATGCCTGTTACCTGTAGTTTGGCTTATTGTCTATCAGTACAGACAGTCTAAAATACATTGTTTGCTGTTTTGCACTGGATAAAGTTGTTTGCTGTTTTGTAGTGCAGAAATGTGATGCTTTAGGAACCAAACTGGATATTTTAGAGTAGGATATGCTTGTATACAGATATGTGATGTATTAAAATTAAGGTTCAATTGGTTAACACTATCATGAACTAACATTTAACATTTCAAGTTGTGTAAATTAAAACAAATGTATTATGAACAAACATAAATTACAATAATATTTATAACAGAAATCATATGTTTATAAATTAGCATTAATCTAGACTAATAATTATATTAATACATAGAACACATACGGCATTATTTTTAGTGATACCTAATGTTTTAACAAACTGTATTTTGGTGCAAGATGTTAACAAAATTATTTTATGTTAATATCATCAATATAATGATATATTTGGCAGGCCGCAAATATTCATAAGTTTACTGCAAGTGTTTAATATTTATTCTTTCAAAATTAGTAGATCTCCTTATTTGTAAAATTTTATTACATTTATTAATGTAAAGGTAAATAATTGCGACATTCCGTATTGCCCATATTATTATTATTTTTTTTTTTTTGGGTTGTTATAAACAGTTGTTTTTGTGGTGCTGGTGTGAGTGTATGGGTACAGCAGAAAATGTGTTTAAAGTATACATTGTTTTTTGATCATTTTTAGTTCTGAAATAGGATAGAAATGGTATAAAATAAATTTGCTTTGGCGTCTCTCTCTAAAGCATGTTTTGTATTTGTACACAAACTCAAATAGATGCCATGCTGTTATTGAATGCACCATCCTGATGTGGTTATGCCCATCTCCCTGAGGCTGGTTGGCATCGACAGGGCAAAAGGAGGTGAACTGACAATGATAATATGTACTGAGCTGTTTCAGGTGAGCATGTTTTCTCATCATACCATGGATGGATTATGGCCCGGGCTTGACTGCCACAGGCCTTGTGCTGTGGGGCCCACTCTGGCCTGACACTTTGAAACATCACACTGCAAATGGAACACTGATTTAGGTAGAAAAACAGCTCTTGATGGTGTACCAGCAAAATATTAAAATTCAAAACAAGGTTAATAAAAATCACATAATCGTGTAATAAATACAAAATGGCTAAGAATGTAAGATATACTTTTTACTTTTTTGTTTTTGTTGCATTTGCAAAAAAATATACTGTACTTTCAATTGTGAGCTGGAGTTTTAAGATTGCATTTTTTTTTTAAACGTGAAGGTTGTGATGAAACGGAAGCAGCAGCAGATCTTTTCATCCATATTGTGTTGTACATCTAGTATAACAGATTGTCAAGAAAGAAAGAAAAAATTGGGGGGCAGCGACTTGGTTCTATCTATCGGTTATTGATTGGATTTTGAGATGTGGGCGTTGAACTCAAAAGTTAAGGGCAGATAAATGTGAGCTTGCAAGGACGGATTTAAGTGGACTAATTTGGAGAAGTCCTGTACGTCACCAGAGAGAAATCTGTCGTTTTCACCAGAAGGTCCAGTTATGACATTTTTATTAAAAATTACAAGGTTAAAATTGTTTTTAGGATGAAACATATGCATGGATAAACTGTTCACAATAAGATATAGAATATAGTATGCATTTATAAAATAGATGGGGTGAATTTTCATTTCAATCTGACTTTAATTAATTGCAATTAAAAGCTATACCATGAGGTATTTGAATGGGGGCCTTTGCAGGACCATCTGTCCTTGCCTCTTACTGGTATTTTATCAAATCAATTTTCTGTGTGAAGACTGGGACATGCTTTGTTTTTTTGTCCACCTGAGCTCCGTTAATGGCAAACTCTGAAATGTGCTGGATAGACTTTATAGACATTATATTGCTGCTTTCCCATCCAAAATTCTGACCAATGTGCAAACCTCATCATTTGACCTTGAGTTTAAAACCAATAAAAGGTCCCCTGTCCTTCAAAAAGTTTTTTTTTTTCTTTTGGTGTGTTGCTTTTATTGAAGATGTAGATTTTTAAGTCTCTGTCCTTAATTCCGCAGTTGGGTTGTAAAAAGGTTTCCCTCTAACGGGCAGAGTAAATCAAGGGAAGTGAGTGCACAGTTCCTGAAAGCATTTTCTCCACTGAGAGCCATTGAGTGTGTTAGCAGCAGGAGTTGGAATGCTTTCCCTTCCAACACCTGCTACTGGCCCTGTGGGGCCTGGATTACCTTTTCATTTCCACCCTCTCTGCAGAGAGAGAGAGCCGAAATGCTAAGTGAAGTCAAGATAAACGTGGACCCTTCAGCCTCTTTCTGAGCACCAGCATCTCTGCGGCGTGGTGCCACTTTAAACATTGTATTTCTGAGAATGTTCCAGGAACATTTCAAGCGGTGCCTGAAATTAGATTTAATGCTATGATTTTAGCATTGTTCACCTGAATAGTTTCTGTGATGAATTTACTGACATGCAGCCTCATATGAATAAAAGTAATCAGTCAGTTATACCTATTCCGCATGCCCTCTGGAGAGGGAATTGTACCATTCAGAACAACCAACACATACCATGACTACATACCATGACTTTGTGGTCTGAAGCTGAGAATGACTAAATGCATATCCTACAGCTCGCTAATTTTAAAAAGCATATATGCAGTGTGTAACAGTACACGGATTGCTGTTTGAACATGATGCCATCATGCTAAAATACATTTAACTGGATCTTCATGCCGCACAATGAGAGCAACCTCTTGGCTCTGTTTATTGAGAAAGTAGCCATTTGTAAGAGCAGTCTCAGAATCAGCCAGCTCTCCATCAAACTGGCCTATCCTACCCTCCACCTGGATTTGACATTAAGCCTTTTGGAAAAGATCCAAAGGTAGAGGCTTTGTGAAAGTGAATGCACTCAGTGGAGTTGATTGGTGGCACATAATGTTGAATTAGTATGCAGTCTACATGAAGAAGAGGGTGGGCAGTTTTGACAGGGCTTCTTGTATGGCAACGGTTCTGTTGGCCATGTGTGTGTGTCCTAAATGGGCAGTTTGTTTCATTCTGTACAACCTGAACTGGATCTGGTGCCATGAAGTTCTTTGGGCTTATCTTGGTCGTCAAGGCGACTGTGTGAACGCCTCTAAAGCTCTCTCTTCTCTTTTAACCGCAGCGATTGGTCAACAAGCTTCTTCCTCTCACA